GATGACGCACAAGGAAGAATGACAATCAAATGCATTCCATCATCATAACATAGGACAGAGTGCGAGGGAGCAGAAAGAAGGGGTAAAGAGAGGTAGCAATAATAAGAATGAGATAAGAAAGAAAGACTGAGATATGGAAAGGGAAACGATGGGAAAATTAATAGATCGATTACAAAAAAGATGTCACACACTAAAAAATATGTATATTGTGTATGTGTGTATCGAATCAATCATTTCAGCCTAGCCAAGCTAACCTTTACAGTTTTATGCAGGGTATAGCTACAACTAACAATTATGGCTATAAATGTTGTTATAATATATAAGATTTCAACGCAACTGTTAATTAGCGCCAAAGCGTGCGCCCAAAGCGGTCCAATAAGGCAGCCACAACGACGACGACGACGCCGTCAGCGACAAACCAAATGGAACCTAGTAAAAAAGCCAAATGAAGCGTAAACAACAACACCAACAACAACAATGAGGACAGCAAACAAACCAAAAGTTGCATGAATGAACTGCTTTGTGTGCGTGCGTGTGTCTGTGCGTGGCTTTCATGACGTGCCACGCCTTATTCCGGCCTGACCGACGGCGCCACTCAACTGTTTGCCGGGGCTTTATGAGCTTTGGCATGTGCACAGCTGCCGGATAAATCGTAATCAGTTGTTGTTGGCGTTGCTATTGTTGTTGCTGGTGGCGTTCGTGTTGGTGTTGGTGGTGCTAAGCATATGAGACGACACTTTGGCTAATTGCTTGTGCCAATAGCACTTGGCCAAAGTCGAGGTCCCACAATACCCGATGAGCTGCATAGTAGATGGCCCTTAATGTGGACTCTTGTCTCCAAGAGATGTGAACGAGGCGGGGTCTTCTACTGAATAAGCGGCTGCAAAGGTGAATCATAATTGAATTGTGATAAAGTGCTTAATATACTACTCGTTCATGCATTCACTTTTTACCAGGCACTTTTACCTGAGTTCATCAACTGCCTTCATTCGCTTCCGGTTCATCCACTCAATTCTCTGCTCGTTGGTCACTTCAATTATGATATTTCCATTTTAGCTTTTATTCATTTTTCATTCTCTTTATTTTTCGACGTTGCTCTCCAGTTCGGGTATTTGCTTCCGTTCTCTGCAAACTTGGCACTGAATGTAATTGCCGTCAGCTTTACCGCATTCGAGTTAATTGACAGGTTTTCTGATTTTTGCCTGCACTTGGTGCCTCGACCCAACTCCCATTTGCTGACCACGGTGTACGGCAATTAAATGCAGCGACCACCTATTTTGGTTTGACGGCCAAATTTGCAAATTTGCAGCGCCAATCGAAGCCATTAAATTTGACAGAGTGCATAAAATGGATTTTATGGTGTCTATGGTCATGTCTGTCTGGTAAAACAAGCTACACTTTATTATGTGGTGTGTTTGCGTGTGTGTGTGTGTGTACGTTGGTTGTGCTAATGTTGTTTGCCAACGCATTAACATGGCTCGCCAATTGGCATTTACGTTACGCATACGCCACGTGTTCGCGCTCCATGTGTGTGATTCTCTCCCTCCATATGCTTGTAAGTGTATGCCTATATGCGTGCATGTGTGTGTGTACATTTTGCCAATTATCTTGCAGTCTCAAGCGCACTAAGTGTCAGCATAAATAATTGACTAACCAAAGTGCCGGCTGACGAGTGTCGAGACTCGAGAGCCTAGTGCCGACTGTCAATCAAGACACACACACACACATAGATATAGATATATATATATATAAATGCATATATATGTAGGTCGGACTTTGTAGCGCATGCAAATCTTATGGAATTGACATAGTTGCAGTCAAGCCGGAAATTTGATTGTAATTATTTGTTATATTTAACACAAAACAAGTTTATTTACTAACTGCACATCCGATCAGACGCCTGGCCACAAACCTGTACCGTTTGGCCAAATAACTAACTGTTGTTTGCCGCCCACTAGCAAACAGCTTGGAACAGACTTATGGCCCACTGGCATTGAAACGTGAACCTGATTAGGCTTAAATACTCGCTAAGAATTCTCAATGAATTGAAATTGTGACACAACCAATGGGGCGTATGCGTAATAACAATAATAATATACTAAGCGTCATAGCTAGAGCAAGGCACACACCAGCGACTAGCGCGAACTGATAACGGCTTGTTATTGATAAGGTGCACTTGTATTGAGTTCATTGGCTGTAGGCAGGCCCAGCTGGCTATCAAACGAACAGTAGTCGTGTCGAGCAACGTATTGCTAATGACAAACATTGCAATTCAATTTAATTGATTCAAGTTTATGTTAAATTAAATTGATTCCGATACAAAGATATGAATAATAAGTATTATAATTAATTATTATTATACGAATTTTTTTATGTGTTGAAGAAAATTGCAGGGCAGTTTAAAAAATGGACGTAAAAAGCGGATTCATCCCGAAGCACGTTTATTAGCTTAACCCAGCTATTTCTATTTAGTTTGGCCTTCTAGAAAATAGTACAGAAAATACCAATTTGTTAATGACTCAGTATAAAACACCTGCCACCCACACACACCTTCATACACACCCAATTCACAGCAGTGCATAATGCAGCTTAGCTTAAAGCCAAGGGCAGTCTTTAAAATTTAATTCCCAGCTGTGTAATAATGTTGTAAGCTTACGTCCATCAACACCCACCCACACACTCACACAATGAAGTGTTACAAAACCACACACAATTATATTTACATTTACCGCAAAATGTTCGAACTTAATTGTGGACTAATTGACTTATTTTCATTTCTATTTTTTATGAGCTGCAAAAAATGAAAGTTTTTGCTCAGTTTACTGAATGTTTTAATCAAATTAAATGAAAAGCTTTTCGCGTCTGTTAGCCAAATTGAAAATTTGCATTTGACGCACAAAGAAAAACCAGCAACAGCAGAGCCACAAAAAAAATACACACACACACACATTCAAACCCACGGAGTCGACTTCAAATTGCGACGCTGCACGCCGCAAAAAGCATTTAACCCACATTTGCTGAAAGGCAAGAAAAAACTTCGTTAAGAGAGCTCTGGATTTGGCTTTGGCTTTGGGTTTACTTTGGCGTTGGCTTTGGCCCGTGTGTAGGCTCAAATGGGGCCTAACCAACTGCACATGAATGCAACAAAGTTGAAAACGAGTCAAGAAGACGGCCGCTGCTTAAATTGCATTTTAATTTGCTGTACACTCGCATTAATTAGCCAAAGCCGTCCACAAACATTCCCAGTTTAACTAAGCGCGCCCCACGGGCCATGACAAATAGCAAAAAATATATATAATTCATTTACAAGGCGACCGGTTTGTCCAATGTGTATCAAGTGACCAATTGGTGAGATGCCGTTGGTGCACTGGTGGCCAAATGTGTGGCATTTCCATGACTCCCGCGGCTGTCATTTGTTTTGAAATATACGAGCGGCATTCTTTGTCGGATGTGAAGCCCTACAAACAAACAGCCCAACAGTGGCTCTAAAATGTATGACAACTGCTCGGAACAGTATGAAACAGATGTACTTTAGACAGTTCATGTATAGAAGATACCCTGTACTGAACTCCGATCAGCCGTATCACACATTCATACTTACTTTATTAGCTGCGTAGCTGGCGGTCGCTATTATTTTTCTTAATCTTAGCCCCAACTATGGACAATTTGCGCTTAAGTAACATTTTAAGTTAATATTTTACAGGACACATAGATAACATTCAAATGAGTGCGCATATCAAAAAGTCAGGGCTTTTCCTTTCTCTAGATCTAAATAGTGATATTTATTTCTTCGCATTCTCGAGCAAGAACCAAAACGTATTCGGTTGCAATTTTATTTATCATTTTTTAAATGGTTTCACTGTGCGTCGACCACTTTTGGCCTCTGTTGACTTTTGTGCGCTGTGTGTGAAATGTGTATCAAGTGTCGGACATGACCATGCCCATGCCCATGCCCATGCCTATGCATATGGCGTATTGCCGATGCCGCCACCACTGACACAATTTCAATTTGCAACACTTTCAAGTCGCGTGCCCGCCGTCTCACCACCGAAAGCTGCAGCTTTCGTTTCATCCAAATGCAACACGTGCGTGGGCCACATAAATTGCCATCAAAATATGCGCGACAATAAATTATATTAAATACAATATAGCATATGAGAGTCATTGCATCTCCGCTGCCGCTGGCCGCTCCTGGCCCAGTTGTTCCCTTGGCATGCTGCAGATAATTTGCCCACCAAGTTAAGCCTTTGACAATGTAGCGCTGACATCATGGATGGCCGGATGGATGAATGAGGGCCTGGTCACATTTACATTTAAATGGAGGCCGCGCTGTAATTTATGCCCATTATTGTTATTGTTGCGTGAACTGCGGTTGTTATTGCTTTTGTGGTTGTTGTTGCCTTATGTATGCCTGCTCAAGGTCATTGCGTGGGCATATCCCAGTGAAAACACTGCAAATGTGTAAACAGTGTTGGACAACATGATAATTTGTGGATATTTGAGTGCTAGAAGGGACTTAAAGTGTTGGATAATCGATATTTTTGTAGATAACGCCAAGATTTTGAAGTCAAGAAGTTTCATAGTTTCATAGACAAAGTAATCCTTATGACCACACATAAATTCCAGTGTTGAGAGCGTTGCACAACCGTTCCGTTACAATTCGAAGAAAATTAAATTTCTTAAAATAGGCTTTTGTATATCTTGTTTGTATTTTGTCTCTATTTACATTGCATTCTAAACTATCGTTAAGCTTCGACTATCGAGATTTTGTAAATTTAAAAAGTCAAGCCCTTATATTATTTTTTAGTTTCGATAGCTCTTGGCACTTGTACATCTTTGAGCTTTACATAAATCGATAATTATCTTAATAACATGAACATAACAGACCCTTCCATCTATTTAATATGCACCTAGGTTGCCTAGTTCGTAAACTGCGCAAATTGTTAATCGATATTCGCTTTTTTAGACGCACGCAACATTTATCTATATCAGCGTGCCATTCACCACAGGCGACACGGCTCCGCCTGGTACATGGCCTGACCCGCAGTGCAGTTGAAAGCCTTGGCAAATTCCTCGTGATGCGGCCAATTGCGATTGACTCGCTCATTATGCAGTCCGTGTTCCGTATCCTCCATGGTGGTCATGGTCGCAATTTTTTGCATGTTGGCGCACAAAAACTGCACGGAGTTGATAAAAAAGAGCTGCTCCTGCGTATAATTGCCAACTGGGGGGCGGTCAGCTGGTTGCACATGATTAAAGTAGGAGGCGAAGGCCAAACGCAGACCCACAATGTCCGACATGCTTTCGGAGAGCAGCAGCTGCTGGGCATTTTGCCTGGTATAGCAGCTGGTGAAGTTAGCGAAATGCTGCAGCAACGCCAACCCAGTCTGATTGTAGTTGCCTCGGGCATCGTACACAATGTGAAATAGGTCAAAGGCATGTTGTAGCTCGTGCGCCAGTATGAAACCTAGCTGGGCATGTTGCAGCATCTCTGAGAGGCGGGCATCGTAAAGCGGCAGTTGCAAATACCCGTGTGGCAGCAGCACGGCATTTTGGAATATTTTCACCGGCGAGGAGCTCCGTGCCACCACAGCATCCTGCTGATAGTAGTCATGTACTGGCCAGACACCTGGCCTATTGGCCAGCAACTGCTGCTCGAGGCGTTGATAAAAACGCAGTAGCTGCAACTTGTTGCCATAGAAGTCATTTGGCAGCAACTGTAAATTCTGGTAGTACATTGTCAGCTGGTCCATTGTTAAGCCTGGAGGTATATTGCCTATCTTGAGGCGCAGGCTACGCAACTCCTCCAGCACATAGGCCTGTTCCAGCTCATCCAGCTGTAAATGATTCTCAATTAGTAGTTGCTCAAATTCCTTGCGTAGCTTCTGCTGCAGTCGCTGCAGCGCCGCATCAGTTTGCTCACGTCGTTCCTTATAGTAGTGCTGCTCGTACAGGTAGTTCATGGCAAGTGGCATGTGGCCGCGCAGCTGCAGCACGCAGGCCATGGAACGCGTATCGCTTGGGCCACTGGGCGGCAGCTCCTCGTTGAGCATATAGAGCAGCTTGAACATGAGATAATAACAGATAGTTTCATTGGAGCTCTCTCCAAGTATTAGTTGCAGCTGCTCCAGATAGCTGGCATTCAGCGCAGACACTTGGAGCAACTGCACTGCATCCGCTGGCCTCTCCAGCAGCTCTGCCAAATAGTGGCGCCAATTGATTTGGGGCAGCCGTTGCTGCAGCTGTGGCAATGTCCACTCGGGCAGGCTGTCTGTAGACTGATCTGCTGCTTGGCGCGTCATATTGCCCAGTCGCCACTCCAGCTGCATTAGTCTGGCAGTAAGATTCTTGGACAGCGGTTCATCCAGTCCAAAGGCTACGTACAAATCTTGTACCTCCTGTTCAGTTAGCGGCGTTGCGTCGGCGGGCTGCGGCGCAAAAAGAATCACATAATGCGTTCCATTCTCGCGTCGCACATTCACATCCTGTTTGATAAAGACACCATTGAGTCCATAGACGCGCAGCTTGGCCAGCGTGGCGAGCCAATCAAATTGTGTAGCGTTGCGCCACATTTCGCTCTGATTACTCCGAAAGATGGGCCATTCCAGACCGAGCTGGGGCTCGAGCAAATGCAGCAGTTCATTTAGTGCCGGCTGAGCCAGATCCCGACAAGCCACATAGTACGCCCATAGCTGATCATAGATGCCGCCTTCAGAGCTTTGCGCTTCCAAGGCACTCAGCAACTGTTTATTAAATTTGTAATCCATATAGCCGGGCATATCCAGGTAGCTTTGAATGTCGTTGTAGTTTGCACTCCAATTGCCACAGGCATAACCATAGAAATCCTGGCAAGGCTCAACGCTGGCGTTTACATTTCGAAACACTTGCGCCAGAAACATTGCATTGAATTCTGACGCCAAGTTGGGACTGGGCAGCAGCCAAATGCCTGATATGCCCCACATCAGCAGTAGCAGGAAATTCAATTCGAGGCGACACTTCATAGCGGCAGCTGAATGTCAACTGCCTCTTCAAACTCTTGAGCAGCTCTGGCGTTGCAACTTTTTCATCGGGCTTATCGCTCGATTTTCTCAACAGGCGATATTTTCTTATCGCCTCGAACGCTTGCCACAAGTTTTGCTTTCATTTCATTGGCATAGACGAGTTCTCTAGACATACTTATATATATTTGGCCTCTATATTTGCCACTCTCGTCATTTTGCATCCTGTTGGCAATTTGTGCAAGTGGCTGCATTTGATTAGAAAGCTCTTCTTAACGCTATTATAAGCCAATAAGCCATTCGGCTCTTCACAGCAACTTGGCTTAGTTAATCCAATCAATGTCAAAGACTTCAATGCAGCTCGGCTGCCAGTCGCGAGTTGCCTCACGCTTGTCTTCGTTCCGGTTGCCTTCTCTGATTTAATTTGTACTTGACAAAAATGAACTTTCCTCGCAAATTGAAAACTTTGCTAACTGCCGCCAGGAGACATTTGTAGAATACTAAAGGGCAAGCTGACAAAGGGGTTTGTGGCTAACGTTTTATCTCCTGTTCTCAAATATACCCTGTATCAAGGTGGTCCATAGTTGATTTGGGCGCGTTTATCTGACAGACTTTGGTCTTGGACAATTTGTATATATGCCAAAAATATAAATGTTGAACACATTCAAGGTTTGCACCTGCTTTTCTAGTCGTTTGGACCTTAAACTTATTGAGATAAAAAGGCGTCAAGCGACGGTAAAAGGCAATACGGACAAAACTTGAAATTTTGTACAGAGTATTAACCAGTCAACTGCATTACACGGTTAAATTTTACATTGCATACATTTGGGCTGCCAAATGGGATGAATTATCGAACATATACATATCTTTTAGCATTAAGTTTAGCGTGTAAGGCGTTTTTAGGGTTAGCTTTAGTCGAAGAGTTTGTTTTTGTTGCTGCATTTGCAGCTGATGATTACCGCCTGTGGCGTGTGTTGCTCTTTAGCGTCTTTGCTCATTTAGGTGTTGTTGATTTTCATTAGCACTCATATACACACACTTACACACACACACTCGCTCAACCTACTTAAACACCTGATGCGGGTGATGGCCTGACATCAGCATCATCCATCACGAAAGCAGGTTTGACTTTGATTAGCGCATCGCTGCGATAAATGAAGAAAAATTGCTTCAATGATGATCATCAATGTAATTTTCATTTTCATTTTGTTAAGTGGGTCACATCGATGGCAATCGATTTTTACCACTGAAAAAGTCGTGTTAATGCCAAAAAGTCAAAGTGGAACAGTTTCCACTATTTATTCCATTTTCCGATTGTTGCAGCTAATTGAAATGTCATTTTGGCTGTCCAATTAATAATGCAATTAGCAAAGATAATAGAGAAAAGGCTAAGGGCAATAAATAAAGTAAATAACTCGTAAAATACAAAAGCAATTAAATAGAATGAAATTTATAATTAGCTAGCTTATTAACTAGTCATTATGTGCTTTACCTTTAATCACTTTAACATAAATTTCAAATTTTGCAAACGTTTTTACGGCGCTTTCCCTGTGTATTGTTAGGGTGTGGCTAATTGTATTTTGCCTTAATTTTAATTATGATTCGCATTCAAAGTGCTTTTGGCGAACAGCCAAAACAAATGCAAAAGCCGCTGGCATTCAAATTGTTTGCATCCAATTTAACAAAAATGCAACAGAAACTGTGTAAATGCACTTTGTGTTAAATAATACAATTAAATATAAATAATAGCAATATTTACCAAACTGTTCAATAAACCGATTAGGGAGAAATACATTGTTAATGTTGCTATTTCAAATAGTTTTTGGTTGGCATTTAAATTTTAATATTGTTCCGATGGGTATAAAATATTTATTAATGCATTTGTGTAAGTGTATGTTTATGTCTATATGATTGAATGTATAATCTTCCCGTTGTCATTTAAATATCGCTCCACTATGCGATTCTCATAAATTCAAGTAAGCCTTACAAATTGATTTTTGATTAAATTTTAATTATTATATTGCACACATTCCTTTTCCATATCTTTGATGTTTTTAAATGTGTATTTCTGTTGATTTTACCCTCCAAAACTTGCCTGTCATATTCGACAGGGATAGTTATATTTGACGTGTTCAGTTCCCAGCAATACGCATGTTTATACTCTGTGTTGTCATTGGACAGCTCGGTGCTTTATACTCAGCTCTTCCTGTTGTATCTAAGTATATGTGGGTAATTTTCATTAGCCCAAGTCAAATCAGAAAAACAAATCGTAATCCTTGCACTTGAATGCTGGCTTCATCTGTCCAATCCACTTAATGTCAACTTAAACCCGGTTGCATTGCGGTAATGCACTTAGCCAAGGTAAATCTGGTCGAACGGACGTCGGACAAGCGGAAATACTGCAATTTAACGGAAAATAAGCTGACCCAAAGCTTACGCACGCCACGTCACGCCCATTTTGTTTGCAATTTGCCATTTTGCTTTCCGCTTGCCACGGCACGTGTCAGTTCCACGGCTCAGACGGGAGAAAGGGGTTTGGAAATGCAAACAAAGCTGTAGCTAAATCAATGCGAAAATGAGTAACATTCGTAACTGCATACTTGGCAGCGCATCGTGCTCCTGGTGGAGGAGCCAGAAGCCACAGTGAATGTAATCAGTTCCAACATTAATTAAACCCGAGGCGAAGAAGCCAGACAGCCAGGACGTGGTCGTGTATACGAGCCTTGTCAACGTGCGCTTGCATTTTCCAGAACGTTATTCAAGTTGAAAGGAAAGGAGAAGGTAGTGTACACGCCTCACTTAATATGTATTTCATGGAAAACCTTTGAGCAAAGCTTTTTTCATGCAGAAGTTTTCAATTCAATTACATTACAAGCAATTGTGTACAAAGGGAAAAGTAAAACGAAATGCCAAACTGAATGTCCTTTCGACAGGTGCCCCTAAATTGAATACTATTCAAACGTCTTGCCATAAAATAAATATTTTATTGAATCCTTATATCCTTGCAACGTCCTCTTTTGTATGTATCCATCATAAATGGCATTAAGGAACTGTTAAATGTCAAGCAACTGTCAAGTGTTCATGGGAACACTGAAGCCAGCCTGTCTACCTCTTCATTAATTTGATTAAATATACCTCAAGAAACAGATTTTTTATCTGTTCTCTCATATTTCTTACCAAACAACATAGTTTGCACATACCAAGACAAGACAAGTTACTGACATTTACGAAGCGAGAGTGCATCAAAAATTATTGAAATTTAAGTAGAACTTCAAATTACTTCAAGATTGAGTTATTTTCATAATAATGAACAAATAAATAAATAATGGAAACTCTAGAACAAATTCCCAAGAGTTTTAAGTAAAAGCTTGAATGATAAATCAGTTTCTTTATAAAATGAATAGTTATTCTCAAATTTATAATTTTACTACAATAGCACTTGATTCTTGGCATAGTAAGGCAAAGAACTTATGAAGCGTACCTCGCCGACAGTTATTGAAAGACAAACAACATGGCAGGCAAAAAATATGCCAAGCCCCATTGAGGAAACGGAAATGCCAAAAGGTCCATGAAGTGCGTGTTTCTGCACATGTCACAACGAAATGAAGTCATGTGGGGGCGGTGCGAATTTGTGGTGCACTGAGGGGTGAAGCGAGTAGTGTTGTCTGTCAAAACGATGTCAATATGCACACAACAACAACAAAGCTGACAGCAAGCAGTTGACAAAGAATGGAAGATAGGGAGAGGATAAGAGAAAGGCATAGAAAAGAACAAGGGTTGGGTGAGTTAAAAAACAAGAGACAATATCGTGCGTGCGACTATTTTGACATAGATAAAGCGCAGGTCGGGTCGAGAGCAGCTGCCGAAGACAATGCAACTACATGATAAACCACTCTTTGTACGGCAAAATGCTCGACTGTCAAATACCCAGCATTCAATAGGAAGTACTTTAATATATACTACACGCTTTGAGTTTTTCTCTAACTTACAATTGATAAGATGATATGCATACATAACATGTGTTTCATCGTAATTTGCCGTAATAGCAAAATGTTAAAATTTTGTGCTGCAGTGGCAACGCCAAGTCACACTGTCTAATGTGGCAACACTGAAATTAATACTTTATTGCACAAACATTAACATCAATTTGACTACAACTTAAAGCAGTTGTCAAGTTGCTTGTCAGTTACATGAGTCAACCTAAGTATTAAGCCCTGTTAATGCTCTCCAGCGACAGGGTATTTAACTGCAGTTGAACTAATTCCAGTGCATTCACAGCTCGAATAACGATGGGGCGTTTACAGTTTATCTTTTAGCACTCAACTTTACAAATGTGCAGAGTAAATAAAAAAAATGAGAAAAGTTTTCGCTGCAATGCAATGTTGATGAGCTTTTAGGAACAGAGAGAACAACAATATTCTCACACACAAATATCATGCACATTTGGGCGTGTCCTTTTGCAGCCATTTGCAGAACAGTAAACGACACATTGTTGTGAAATGAATGTGCTCAATGATTTATGAATATGTGTTCACATTTCATGCAATCATGAAAAATTAAGGTTTAATTAAGCGTTCGTCAAATGCCCCTGGGGGCAACTGGTCGCATCCTGGCAAGCTCCTGACATCCTGTTTTGTCAGCCATGCAGCTCGCACGTTGCAGCATCGCCTCTCATTGTCCTTTTTGGAAGAGCCCGCATTGAATTCACTTCCGTTACAGCCACAGCCACAGCCACCGCCACCGCCGCAAACCAAACGCTAAACACAATGCCAGTTCTGGTCACGTAGGACACCAAGGACAACAAACGGGCAGCTCGCAAAACTGGGCGTATTGGGAGCAACATGAGCACTTTAGAGCAGCATCCGGTGCCACCACACCCGTATTACGTTCCAAAATTAAGCGCATTTAAAACTCGAGCTACATTCGTTTTGATTACGTCTCTGGATTTTATTTTTCTTTACAGCACCGACAGCGCCTGCAGCAACAGCAACTAGAAAATCGAT